TTTTTTTAAAAAAAAAAAAAAAAAAAAAAAAAAAAAAAAAAAAAAAAAGATAAGAAAAAGAAAAAGAAAAAGAAGTTATATTTTGGATGTAAATTTTCACTTTATTTAGATGAGCTTTATCCAATGACGAAACTGTGTGCTCAAAGGCAACTTTATCCTGCTTGTAATCATTAAAAAAGTCTATGTTATCAACCTAGGACATTGACTACATTGACATCAACAAACAACTCTCTCTTTATTCTTATAAATCATCTCTTAGAATATATCTGCGCAAATTCGATGACATTATGGTCAACATCTCCTGGACTAAGGCTAGTATCATATTCCCTCTAAATTTCTCGTCTATCAATCCATTTCCTTTCAAATATACTAAACTTATATTATTTTACACGAGCCCCTGTTCAACCCAGCTGAATGTAGAAACAGTCTAATTGTAAAGCTCAAAGTCTCTTCTCTATCTGAAAAATGTCTTACACCCTATAGTATAGTATGCTAGGCCTCAATAATACGTAGTGTGCAATTTAACTCTAGAAGACAGTATCAATATCAGTAATGGTGGCTATGGAAAATATTTTCACAGAGTTCCATCCATCTTGCCTCATAGACAAGCAGAACCAAATGAAGTCGGAATGGAACACTTTAGAACTGCTTGCTTTAGAGTTCGGCCACTCAGACATTGAATTATATTCTCTAGTCAAGTCATACATTATGTATTATCAAAACTCTAGCATGTTTTAGAGAGTTAGGAATGCACTTTTTTGCTAGGATACGAGACTGAAATTTTTACATTGTGTGCTTTCTGCACTGGTAAGTGGGTTGGTTAGGAGCACATGTAAAAATAAGAGAAATTTGGTGGATTTAAAAGGATGGAAAATGACAATAAACAAATACTTCGAAAGGAAAGTGGTTTTGAAGAAATTTTAAACTAGATTAAGTTGCTTTGCGTGGTCGTGAGATGATTCTTTTATGGGGACCGAGAAAGTTACTTGTCAATGTTGTTGTCCCGTGAACTGATGATAGAAAGCTCTTTACTAATTACACGCAGGTTGGAAAGTCTACAAGCGCACAATTTTTCAAAAGAAAGTTGTATAAGGGCAACGAGGATTCCTACTAGGCTTTTAGGACTGATCCCAGTATTCGTAATGTGTTTGGGATATAGCCTTTGAACAAAATAATTTATTTTTAAATCAAATCACTTGAACTATAAGCACCTTTGGGAAAATTACCAATTTTAAAGTATTTTTAGTAAGGCTTCTGGAGTGTTTTCAATTATTAAAAGTGTCTTTTATCCTAATTAATAAGTAGCACTTCTAAAAAATATGATAAAATAAAAAATTCTTTTTGAAGAAACACTAAGAGATGATTATCCAAAAAATGGCTAATAAATATTTAGTTGAACATCTTCAAAACATGTAGTTAGAAAAAAACTTATTTATAGTTACTAGAATTACTTTTGAGTGCTGTGAAACTAAACAAATTTTTTACTTATAGCACTTTTACAAAAAGATAAGATACAAATACGTTTTGATTCGAAATATTTTTTTAAGAGTGTTTAAACTAGAAGGTATGGCAAGCGCATTCTTACTTTCTCTTGGATATGAAATTATTCATAAGAAGATCCTACAGGCACTTAGAAATTTCTAGAATTGTTTGGAATTCTAATCCACTTTCGGGAACTTCATTTATTCTCATACCTGTTAATTCTACTGTCATGGTTAGATTATTGTATGCTTCCCTTATTCTTATATCTGAAGAGTTGGAAAGAAATAAATTCTCATGTGGTTCTTTGATCCTCTTCACTCTAGACATATTCTGATGTATGTAGTCAATAAAAACTGGAAGTAGGAAATATATGAGATCTTTCCTGATGCTTTTATTTTATATAATATCTGAAGCTTCTTATTTTTTATGCAGTCATCTGCATTATTGAGAAGTGAAGAATATCGGCAGTTGTTTCGTCTTCCACCAGATGAAGTAAGTGCTCTAGTCTTGAGAGGAGTTTATTGATTGAAGATGAAGTTGATGATAGGATCATTTGTGTCTTGCTAATGGATTCAATTGGAAAAAGAAAGAAAGAAAGAAAAAAAAAGAAAAAAGAAAAACAAACAAAAAACGAAGAGAAGAATTATCACGTTTGACTTAGCTATGGAAACATTGATCAATGGTGATTTTTCGGAGGGATTTCTGAAGTTTTCTTCTAATTTGGAATAAGACAGACAACATATACAGGAAAGAAATTCAGCTATACTTTGAATTGATCGATTATAAAAGTTTAATGAAGTATTTTCTACATATTTCCGCACTTGATGAAGATTTTTTGTGCTTATTTCAGTGCTTCCTGTGACCATTTACTATATTTCTAGTTTTTCAAATTATTAACATAGGATAACATACAAATCTACCACATTTATTTGATGGGACTTTAACTTAGGGGTAAAGATTGCTTCTGCAATGCAAAAAGATAGAAATGCAGCTTTTTTACTTTGTAAATGTCGGAGTATGATTAAATGATTAAATTACCGTAATTATTAGCTCAAGCTTTTTGGGGTTGCGTAGCAGCTTAACATGATATTAGAGCTTGAAATCTTGTATATAAGTCTTGTAGCATTGTTTCCTCCCAATTGTTGTTGATAAATGATAATCACTTATTGAGTTGTGCTCTAATTTTCAAGCTCACAAATGAAGGAAACTTGTTGTCATCTTTTTTGCTTTAAAGATTTTTGCTTCAAAGATTTTTGCTTCAAAGATTTTTGCTTGAGTGGTACTTGGGAATAATTTCAATATTTTTTTATTGGTATATTTTATGCATTTTTTCTTTAGTGGATTATTCAACGGATATTGCTCCGTCCAAGGATGGGAGAATATGTAGCCTTTTGCAGATTGTTATACTTGATATTCGAGGATATCTGCTTTATCAAGGATTCCTATGGATATCTTATTGTCTAAAGACTCCATTTCTTTCTTTACTAATAGTAAATTATCTTGCTCATTGCACATGTGCCTTTTATAATTTAGAAAGGCTAACCAAGCCCCTAGATATTAGGTAACATTACATTAAAAAAAAAAAAAAAAAAAATCTAACGGAATCCCTAGACACTATGTAAAAATACAGAAAAATAGGAAGGTTAACTAATTCCCTTATTCAATGGGAATACACAAATATTCCTTAGATTAGGGCTAGGATTTACACAAATATTGCTTAATTAAAGTCATTCTTTCAACACTTTCCCTAAGCTGGAGAGTAGTAGTCGTCCATTCCTAGCTTGGCTACTAACTCATGAAAGATTGAGCTATGAATTCCTTTGTTAGTACTTCTGTTAGTTGAAGTCGTGAGGGCACAAAACTAGTGCAAACTATCCCTTCTCCAATTTTTCCTTGATAGATGTCAATCAATTTCAATATTCTTTGTCATATCATCCTGGATAGGATTATGTGCAATTATTCATAGCTGATTTGTTATCACACTACAATTTTATCGGACCTTCTCCCTTAATCTGTAAGTCATCAAGGATTATCTTCAACCATGAGAGCTCATAAGCCCTCGCCCAATAGCTTAGAACTCCAATTCACTAGATGATATAGCCACCATATTTTGTTTTTTGCTCCTCTCTATGTCACTAAATTACCTTCGAGAAAATTACAATACCTCGTCATAGATCTTTTGTCCACTATTGATTCAATATTATAGTCAGCGTATGTGTAAGCCTCCAATGAAAGGGAATTGTTACGTTTAAATAAGATTCCTTTTTCTAAAGGCCCTTTTAGGTAATGTAACATTCTATATGTTGCCTAAAGATAATGTTCTCGTAGGTCGTCATGCGTAAATTGGCTAATTACACTTACTGTGGTCGAGGTGAGCTTGATATATAAGCCTCCCTAGTTTGGTACATCTCTCTATTCACCGAGTTCTTCTTTGACTCTTCCGGTTACTAATGTGAATCCATAGGTGTTGATGCAAGCTTACATCTGTTTTTTTCTTGTTTCTGTCAATAAACCCATCACATATTTGTGTTGTGATATGAAAATACCTTGAGCTGAGTACACTACTTCAATGTCGAGAAAATACTTTAGCCCTCTAAGTTCTTTAATCTCAAATTCTCTCATCAATTTCCTTGTAAATTAATCTTTTCTTCTTCATTATTGCTAGTGACTATGATGTCATCTACTTACACTAGAAGCACTGTAACCCCCCTTGATTTTGAGTGCTTGATAAGGAGAATGTGATCTCCTTGACTTTGCTTATTTCCACATTCTTTCATTACCTTCCTGAATCTCCAAACCACACCCTTGGTGATTATTTTAGTACATACAGGGCTTTTCTAAGTTTGCACACTTTACCTTTCGAGCTTTCAAATCCTGGAGGAAGGCTCAAAGATTTTCTCATCTAGATCATAGTGAAGGAACACATTCTTCACAACATACTATGAGAGCTGTCTATTTAAGTTGGCAGCCATGTGTGACAATATTCTTATTTTGTTCATCTTTGCAACAGGGAATAGACATCTCCTGATAGTCTATACCACAAATTTGAGTATATCTCGTAACTACTAACCTTGTCTTATATCTTTCTATGTTTAATCTTGTATTTTATTGTGAAAAGTCATCTGCACCCAACTATAATTTTTCCTTTTGTCCTATCTACAACTTCTCACGTGTTATTCCTTTTTAGTGCATGCATTTCTTCTCTCATAGCATCCTGCCATTCTCCTTTGCATAAAGCTTCAAAAACTGTGTTAAGTATAACAATCAAATTTAGACTCATAATGAAACTCTTGTGTGAAGGGATAGTCTTTCAAGAGTGATATAGCTTGGTACGGGGTATAATGGTTGTTTTGTGCATTCTCTAGTGGATTTTTAGAGAGCTATGAGTCTATCATCTATCTTTAACTGTGTTGCATCTTCATTTTGAGTTGAGTAAGATGTTTTAATTGTATTGGTCTTGAATGGCTTTCCTTCTAGAATATATCTGAGAGAACAACGAATCTAGCAGTGGATGTTGAATTGATGGTTCAGTCGGTGACTCCATGGTAGTAGGAGATGTCCCATGATTGGAATTGATAGTAGTTATGGACTCATGATTGAAATCTGTAGTAGGAGTGGACTCAATAGTTGGTCCTATGTCCAGACTATTTAGTGTGTCTAAGAGTTTAGCTGTTTCCGAAGGACTCTCTTCAATCACTATGTTCTCTTCCTAAAGAGGTGCCTTAGAAAAGAACGATTTATGTTTGGTGAATGTCACATCAATTGAGATGTAAGAATTCCTCGAGGGCTAAAACATTTGTACCCCTTTTTGGTCGAAGAACACCCTAAAAAGGCACATTTTATTGCTCTCCAATTGAGTTTTCCACTTTGAGTGTTGTCCACATGAATAAAGGTTGTTCACCCAAATATGCGGGACGTGAAGCCATTTGATGTTCGAAAGGAGGATGAAATTGCTTGGGAACTTCCATTAGGCTTAGATTATTTAGGACATGAAAGGAGAGACAATTTATTGTGTAAGTTGCAGTAAGAACAACTTCTCTTCAGTAAGTCTTTGACGTGTTTCCGTGAGTAAGCAAGGTGTCTATTTTTTCTGTGGGTTACTCCATTTTGCTATGACGTAATATCACATAAGAGTCATGGATGGTGCCTTGAGATAAGAAGTATGACGATAAGGTTTGATTGAAGGAATTTCTAGCATTGTCAATTTGAAATGTTTTGATTTTGACTTCAAATTGGGTTTGAATCATTGAGTGGAAGGTCAGAATTATAGTACTCATCAGATTTTAGTTTGAGAAGAAATAGTCATGTAACCGAGTGCAATTGTCAATTAAAGAAATCAATGAGTATAAAAAATATTTGGAACAGTTGAGGGTCCTATATATCACTATGAATCAAATTAAAAAACATTGAATTTTTTATTTTGACTGTATGTTTCGCAAATTCACATGTATCACAATGTGACTCTTGGAACATAAGTTTAGACTCTAAATGAGGGAGGACTCATGCAAAGGTGAACCAAACACATCTTTATTGGAGGAACAAAGAAATAACATGGTTGAGCAATGTGTTGTTTTCTTAGGTAATTACAAGTAGTGTCAGCCATTCAATTCCTTAGTAAATCCAATCGTATGAAAATGCGTCCATTAGATAGTTTTGGGACTTGGTCTTGAAAAACAAAACATGACGGGAAGAAAGTAACACTACAGTGGTAGTCATCAATAAGTTTTGTATGAAAATGCGTCTATTAGATAGTTTTGAGACACGTAAGACGTGTTTTAGTGTAAGGGTTTGAGAGATGAATTAGTCTCATTTGTCACTGTAATTTTTATTTTTTATATGTTCTAAAACATTGTATGTGATGGTCATGTGAGTCGCAATTGGGAACTTCTGTTCTAATTTGGATTCTTTTGTGATGTACACCTGTGCTTTCGACATTTCTCCCTTGTTTCCCCAACCATGGTCCTATGAGGCTTCTCAATTTCCCCATTCACGATTGGGAGATTTTCCGTTCAACTTCTGATAACTCTCCTTCATGTGTCGCAGTTTCTTGTAATGTAGTACACCAGAAATTGTTTTTGTTACTCTTCCATTGGTTGCATCTTTCTTTCTCTATGGCAAAGGGCCAATGCATCTAAATTGAGTAGTTGTCAAGTATAAGACTTCATTTGCTCAAATGAGGGACATTGTTTCTTCTAGGGACCGTGTTTCCTCTTTTTTGATGATTTGTACGCAGACTTGGTCAAATTGGTTGTCGAGACCGGCCAAAAAATCATAAACACAATCTGCTTCAATGAATTTCTTTAGAATTACGACATTTGTAGTGAACTTCATTTTGAAAACCAAATGATAATTGAGTTCCTGCCACAATGTTATCTGAGCAATGGCATATTCAGAAACAGTTCTCCCTTCTTAAATCATGGCTCTAGTTGTAATCTTGATCTCATAGGTTTGAACTGCTTCTCCGAGCCTTGGAGTAAGTGTGATGAATATAGTCTCATATGACTTGAGTGTTTTGTAAATCATACATGTATTGCTGATGGATGACTCCATAGACTCCAAGAGCCATGACATTATCATGAAGTTTTCCTCGTCCCATGCAACAAATCCTAGGTTCATCTCTGCTAGTCTTGGTCCAACGTGATGTTGAAGTTTTCCCTTTCCTTTAAGGTAACTACACAATTTGAGATTATTCAAAGGTACTACACAATTTGAGATTATTTAAGAAAGTTTTTATTTTTCGTTGAGTTGATATGACAATTGGATGGGTTGAAGATCTCATTTCTTTGGGCAGTGGTCTGGAGGAATTTATTCTATTGGTGACAAAATTTTTTGATTCCGTGACTGTTGCTCAAAGAAAAATGAGCCTCTTCTTCAAGTAAGTGTTGAATAGCAAACTCCAGTGACAAAAATTGGAAAACAGTGGGCTTCTTCCTAAAAATGAATCGGTCTTCTGTCGACAATGCTGCTCATGTGTTTTCCTTGCTTCAAATTCGTTGTTGGCCGAAAAATGGGCTTGAAATGAGCCGAAAATAAAAAGGCCAATAAGTGGATCTCCACCGCTTCAAGTATTCTATTGTATAGAAAGGCCTTCTTACGCTGAAAAATGGGCTGTTGAAGGGGAATAAAAAAGGGGACTGCTGACTTCAGTGGGCTGGGCTCAAGTGAGTTGTCTTGTCCACCTAATTAAAGTGAATCAATTTTTGAAGGTCCAAGGAGAAATTAGGATTTTGGCTAACCACTCAACCTTTTTTTTATGCCTCCTCCCTACCAATTTTTTTTTTTTTTTTTTTTTTTTTTTTTTTTTTTTTTTTTTTTTTTTTTTTTCAGTTCTAAGTNATCTCTCAGACCATGCGACTTCAACTCAACGATTTTGACTCTAGCGATTTTGATTTCAACTCGTCTTCGATGAAAAAGATATGTTCTTCAGGCACGCTAAAGCATGACTTTGTCGACACGACTTCAACCGTAGCAATGATGTCACCGAATAAATTTGGTCAAGGTGGAAGATTGGAAGGCTATGTTGATTAATGGATAGAATGACACTGTCACTCTAACATCTGATTATCGTGCATAAATTTTACATCAGTGATACTTAGAATTTATTAGTTTTTTTTTTGGGTGAAGTACTTATTTGCAATATCATTCCTCCAACATATTAGATCATGAAAATCTAGTTTCAAGAATTATGGTAAATTTTTGTTCAATGTATATTCACCTTTCATCCAATGTTCGTTTTTGTTCTCATTAAAATAATGGTCCACCTGGGTCTTCCTAGTTCAATAGGACATGCTTAATTAAAAAGGAAAAAAGTAAAAAAGAAAAAAAAAAAAAAAAAAAACTCTGGTACGACAATACAACTATGAGCAACGCCTCCTTAATATTATCTTATAGAGTATTTGCCTTCGATCTTAAGATTTACCAGTTCTCCTTTGTATTTCTAGGTTCTTATTGAAGACTTCAATTGTGCTTTCCAAGAGAACATACTAATTCAGGTAATTCTTATCTTCCATAGATTCTCGAGCAGGATAAGTTGTGAACTTAACATTTTAGATTTTATTACCTTGATAAACATGTCATATAGCCACTTCTGATTTTGCATTTAAAATTTCAACTGCCTATCTTCCGTTTTACTCCTGTAGAAATTTAACATATATGAATTCCCATTTGGTAATGAATGGATTATGGGTCTAGCCATTTGTTATTATCATTATTGTTATTGTTATTATTTATATGTTTCAGGGCCACATGTATCTGTTCGTGCACTATATCTGCTTTTACTCCAACATCTTTGGGTTTGAGACAAAGGTAAGATGTGTATCCATCTCTTTGCTGCATGAGGTTCTTCTTACCTAACAACTTGATTTATACAAGTTATGCTTTAAACCAAATGCTCTGTCACACACTCTAACGCATGGGCTTGCATCATGCAAGCACACAGATTCCTCGAGTTCATTTTATCAATAAAATCCACTATCTTCTTTCATCTGCTCAGGCTAGAAGCTCTCCTCTTGGTTTCTCTCGTTTAGGTGTAGGAAAAAAAAAATGTAGATGCATTATGGTAATGGAAGTAGCTTGAGGTATTCCGGACTAACTCAGTATTTAAGTGAAAAGTGTGTCCTATTTTCATATGCAAGAAGAATTTATTACAGAGATGTAATCTTTAATGATATGCTCATAAGTTATATTATTATTTTTATTATATTTTGGAGGTACTTTTAGTTTCCATTTGAATGTGAGAATTTTTTTTGCACGTTATATGCTAGCATACTGTTAAACTATCAATCAAGGAAACAATCCCTACAATTGGACTAATCTACCCAATTATGTAATAGCCTAAAAATTTGGGCTAATCCAATAAGAGGTTCCTTGTTGATCGGTTATGCTTTATAAGGAAATGATGTTTCCATATTCTGGGTTTTGGATCGGGTGGTGACTTTTTAAAAATAAGGTAACAGGATATACATGGAATTGCAGAAAATAATGTAAGAAAATTCAATTTCCGAAACAATATGTAAACAAGTTTATTCTACTAAATCCCTCATCAATTTGACCCTTCAACATATATAGATTTATATTTTGAGAATTTCCAGTTTCGTCTCCATGCTGCCCTTGATTGAAACAATCATATGAAACTATGGAAGTTCCCCAATGCAATTGTAACATGTTAAATGATATTATTGCAGATGGAAAAATAGAATTTAAAAAAATATTTCACTATAATTGTTGAATGCGCCATTTACATAAAATCCTGGATCTATCCTTACCCTTTTACTGCCCCATCTAACATGAAATCCTGGATGACTGGATCTGTCCTTATCTTGTTGCTGCTGGGATTCAGAACGTTTAATGGAGTGACTTTCCATGCTAATCATGTATGAATATGCCTCCCTTACGAACGATTTATACTTTCACTAGATCCAGTTTGGATTTTGAAAGAGATAAGACTTCAACTATGACTATTGCCCTATTATCTTCTATGGTTGTTGGATATTTTTGGCGCCATCATTACAAATGTGCTGGTAAGTATTGCATGCCAGTGATCCAGTCGTAGAGTGTAATGCAATGCCTGGTGATAGAACTTCCTTGGACTTTTTCCTGGTAATTTGGAGTATAAATTTCTCATGATGGGTGGAGGTGTACGTCGAAGTTCTATGTGCAGGATGGGTTGTGGGGCTGTTATGTTTTCTCCAGTGTGGCAAAGGCTCAAGTGGTTTAGAGTAGAACACATTGAGGAACAAAGAGGCTAATCATTTAAGGTTGGTTGGGAATAGGAAGAACCATTATGGAAGGAATTTGACAGGTTAGTGTAGCGATTTGGATCAATTTCTACCGCTGCAAAGTTTGGTTGCTGAATAAGAAAGAAGGCTCAGCGTAATTTCTCTATCATCATGTCGGAACTTTGAACTATCTTCTATGCATATTGCTTTTGGATAATTTCATATGGGGGCATGGTTAGATGGAATTCTTCAAAGTTAGGGCTGGGGCATGGTTAGATGGAATTCTTCAAAGTTAGGACGGGTTTATTGGTTCATTTTATAACATGTTCTCCCCCGGGTTCATAGTTCTATCAATAAAATTAGGTGAGGAATTATGAAAAATTGCTAGGCCACAACACTCCTGAATTCACATGCTGACAGTTTTTTCTTAAAAGAGGATGTCCATCGGCATGCAAAACGTGTACCACTTATTCAATGTCTAATTTGCATGAATAATTTCAATTTCATGTTGTTATTCATATTTGAGCATGAACCTCACGATTCAATATTTGATTTCTTATTTCACTATTTTTCTTTCAAAAATACGGTTGTTGTCAAGGTTGGGTTGTTACGACATTTCTATCTGTCTTGGATCTTGTTTATGATTCTTATTGTACTTCAGAAAATTATCCCATTACAAGAAATAACAGCTTTACGTAGAGCAAAGACCGCAGGGATATTCCCTAATGCCATCGAAATATTAGTTGGAGAGAAAAAGGTAATTTTGATCTTTTAATGCTTTATATTTTCCATTCTGCTTTAATTTTTAATTTCATCTACAGAATTAAGTATAAGGTCTTTTTATTTTTCTCCTTTTCATTTTTAAAAAAATTATGATGATTTAGTAACACTTTTTTGATATTTCCTAATCTACTTTCAAAATTAATTTTAAGAATAAAAGAAATATTGATTTTGAGAAAACCTTTATTTTCATTTTTATTTTTATTTTTAAACGTGGGCTAAGGTTTCGTAAGTTTTTTAAAAGTAAAAAACTAAACTACTTGTCAAAAAAAGAAAATAATAATGATAATAGTACAGAAAAGGTAAACTAAGAAAATATTTAGGAGTATATATTTATCAGCTTAACTTTTTAAAAAACAAAATGGCCTAGATAATTTATTTTAGTTGTTGGCAGTATAATCAACTGGCCTAAGTAACTTATTTTGCTCACTAACTTTTGCAGTTCTTCTTTGCTTCTTTTCTATCTCGTGATGAGGCTTTTAATCTCATTAATGATGGCTGGTCGCAACAAGGTAAAGGTACCGAGGCAATTTTGACAAAACAGGTGAAGAACTGTGCATTCTATGTTTTGTTTGTAACAGCAGTATTGTTTAAGTTGCAATGCAACCAAAGTTTTCCCTTAGATTCTGCTAACATTCATATACGATTAGATTGTTAGTGCATGTATAGAAAAGTGGATGGAGAATTATCAATTTTTTGGATGGGCGATAACATTATTTTGACATATGGCGTAACTGAATATAGTGATATTCTTCTCTCTATGAGTTGCCCCCTATCCGTTCTATTTTAATTTTTCCCAGATGGTTTAAGTTCGAGGCAATCATTTTTCAAGATCTTCCTGCTTATGTTTAATGGGCTTTCGGACCAAAAGGATATCTTGATTTTGTGTTATTGATGGCCTTCTTTATTTGCATGTGTACCGCATGTATGCCTGTGTGCATGTGCATGCATGTTATGGATGTGTGAGCTTGCTAGCTTGCAATATGTTCACAAAATTCAGTTTCTGTATTTATCCATAAACTGTTACATTTGTTTAAAATTGACAATGAATATCCACCTAAGATATTAGTGATAGCAATGAAAAGTTTTTCTTGTTAGAAAACAACCCAAGTGAAAGAATGGAGACCTTCTTTTTCAGCTTCTGTTTGTCTCTCTTATGTATTAAACTTTTTAACTTTTATGTTAGATATCAGTAAATGAATCTAGCAGACAAGAAATTAGTAACCTCGGTATCGAAAAGGCCAAGGAGCTGGATCCTTCAGATTCTTCTGACAGGTATTTTTCACCTTGGTCTATGTAGTTCCCCTAGGCTCTTTGCTGCTTGACTTACTAGATTAATAAATCATCTTGTGTCTAAGGAGTATGAATACTCCTATTCTTAATGTTTCCATGGTTCAAGCCAACGTTGAAGAGGAAAATGGGCCAAAGACCCTACCACCCGTACCAATTGATACAATTCAGGAAGCAGAGCCAATTCTTGATGCTCATGCTTCAACTTTAAGAAAGATGATGTGGAAGCAGGAAGACACAGAAGCTCCCAAGGGTGGGTTTGTAGCATTTATTTTCTCTTTTCTCTTTTCTCTTTTCTCTTTCCTTTTAGATTAAGGAGTTAGCCTACAGTTCTTGGATTGTGGAGTCCAAGAGTGTCTCAAGTCATTCTCTCTACCTTCATACTCACCATTGGCCTTTGGGAGGGGATGCAGAAATTAGTGAAAGAAAACAAAAAGTTCTAAGAAACGTTATTCCTACTTTGATTGTTAGCTTATGTAGGAATTCATTTATTAGTTTTCTTAATGGGAAACCAAACTTTCCTTAAGACGAACAGAATAATGCACATAGGCACTTCAAGAAAGTGAAGGCCCATTTCAAAGGGAGCCAATTAAAAAGGGACACCCTGATAATTACAAAAAAAGAGGTTCAGTTGTAAAGAATAAGAGAAAAGGGATGGTAACAAAAATCCTTAGATGATAACACCAAAAGAGAGACATGAAACCTGGTCATAGCCAGCCCACACTTCAAGACTTTTTGCCTCCTAGATTCTTCTGTTTCCCTCTAGCTAATGGTCACACAAAGTAGTAAAAAAAATCTTCGCCCTAAAGGATGCCACCCTTATCTCCAAAACTGTGGATGGAACAACACCTCTTCTGTCATTGACCAACAAAGATCAATTGTGCACCAAAGAAACGTGAAAGGTCTAAAAATTGGTTCCAAATCAAGTACCCATTGATCATGTCATAATACAGGATCTAGGTTGTTAAGTGTATAGAATCAAATGACGTGGTTCTATTTTCTACCTTTTTATTGTTGTAGCTTAGAGGGTATAATATTCCAAAGAAAGTTTGGTGGATTTCCTATTCCCTCTTTATCTTCATTATAGCTTGGTTCTTTGGAATAAAATTTATTCTTCAATTTCTTATCAAAAGAAGTTATATACTGTATCATTCTATGGAAAGGTTGTGCCTTTTCACGTGGAGGCTGTGAAGGGCAGGTGGGAATGGGGATTGTTTTGGTATTTGACATAAAGAGCTATTTTAATGAAAGAAAGCATTTTTAGGGTGCTTTTATTTTTACTTTAGTGGTTAACTTTTGTACTTGACTTATACTTCAACTGCTATAACAAGTGAAACTCCGGTCCTGAATGCATGATCTGGTTTGATTTTGAATTGCAGTACCAGATTGTTATACCAAAGTTGCAGAATCAAAGTTCCCGGTACAGTTTCTTTTTCTTTGATGAGTTTGACATGTAATTTGTACTTCACATTTGGATCCTCCAAGTTCACAGTTTCTTTAACATTATTGATCAGTTTTGACCAGAAATGTTGGTTCAAATTGAACTGCAGATAAAGGTGGAGGATTTCTTTAGTTTCTATTTTTCAGATGACGCAGTTGATTTTGTTTCTTCATATCATGAAAAATGTGGAGATAAAGGTAGGGCGAAAGATGAATGCAATGTAGAAATATTTTTTGAATTGTTTTATCTATTGATACATAGTATATACTGTGAACTGATTGTTTGTTTGGCGATACTTTTCCAGAGTTTAAATGTTCTCTGTGGCGTACTGATGATGTGCTTGGGCCTACACGGGATATATCATTTCAACATCCAATAAAGATATATTTTGGTTCGCTTTTCTTTCATTTAAGAGAATATCTGACTTTTTTCTCCATGTTTTTGTTTCTTTTTTATTTCAGTTATATTTTTATGATAGTTTTGATTTTACATGGCTATAAAGGTGCAAAGTTTGGTGGCTGTCAGGAGATCCAGAAGTTTCGAGTTTATCGAGACAGGTTTGACAAGTAGCTCCATAATGTTTATATTCTTTTGCTGTTCTTATCCCTCTCTATTCATAAACATTCTTTCATGTCAGTTTTTGTTGCTGCGCTACGTTTTTTTTTGTATGTTGTGAATTACTCATAACAGACTCAAACTTGTATCAAAACTTTTATGAATCAATTCTGTCAGGTTTAATTTTTCGAGGCATTATATTAGAAAAAGGAAATAATAGTTTAGTGTACAAGGGAATGTAAATAAAGCGGGTTACTTGGAACTCTAAATAAAAATGAAAACATTAACCGTAAACAAAATTTCACCGTTATAAAAAACTATCATAAAAATTGCTAATTTTAATTCCTAAAATAACGTTAGTAATGTCTCTGTTCTTGCAGCTGATTTTTCCCCCAAAATTTTTTTATGGTGTTGGAGAAGTGTTTTTGACTTGAGGGAAATAAACTTGAAAGTGAAGATAAATACTTGGCTTTTAGATTTAAAAACTTATTTAGAGTGATAGATGATGCCAGACGAAATAAAATTGAGATTTGGAATAAAATGAAATGGCATTCAGTTTATGTACCACAGTTTATTGTTTACTGGGAAAAAGAATTAAATATCATAGTTGATTTGATAATGATTTAGTTATTCTTAAATGGTTAATGAGTTTGTTCTTTGCTTTCTCAAGGGTCATACAATTTTCGTTGTTTTATAATTTACTCATAAAAATGTTCTATCATAGCCATATGCCATTTTTTTAAAGCTATACGGATAGTTTTCAGTGATCTATTTTTGGTTTTTGTAAATCTGACCAAAATTTCAAGAATGCTTTTCGTAAATGAAAAAATTAAACAAAGGAATGGTTTGTAAACTGGCTAGATTTTGAATATAGAAAACTAAAAATAAAAACTTTATCAAGGAGGCCTTTGTTGCTATTTTCTATGGAAATGGAAATCATTTCAAATTTACGTTTACTATTAATAAGAAACAACACTTTTCATAGAACAAATGAAAAGAGAATAATGCTCAAAAGATACAGACTCTATCGGGAGAACAAAAAGAAAAAGGAAACTCAATCAATAAAAACCAACAGTTTCTAAGTATATGATTCTGAATATGTCTAAAAGTTCTCATTGTTGAACAAACATTATGTTGAAATAGAGCTCTCACATTCTCAGTCAAAATGATGACTGTGAGCAGTAAAATGTTTCTTAATACAACCACCTTTAGTTGGACTAATGGTTATTGAAATTTTAGGAAAAGGGTTCAAATCCATGATAACCACCTGCCTAGGATATTAGAATCCTACAAGTTTCCAGATGACCATATCCCGAGGCTAATCCCGTTGCATACAAGCTGGTCCAAATGGTCACATTTGTTTCTTAATATTCTTGCTAGGAATTTATGTTGATGCCTTAAAACTCATGAAAAATACTTTCAGCAGGAAACATTCTTTCACCAGTGAAAAAATAAAAAAGTATGGATAAAATATCCTCTCTAAGGGCCAAGCGTGTTACAAAAAAGCTTTCCAATGGGAAAATATAAGAAAAAACTAATAATAGATAAAATATCCTCTCTAAGGGCCAAGGGGTTACAAAAATGCATTCCAATGGGCAAATATAAGAAAAAACTAATAATTACAATTGCTTGTAGACCATCAAGTCAAAGCTTTCACATTCTCCCTGAAGTTGTCACTCTTCATTAGTGACCTGGTGAATCCCTTCATTTACTCTAACAAAATCCATAACATAATGCTTGGTAAAAGCAAGTTACATGTGTTAGACCTCCAATCCAAAGGGTTTATTCAAGCAAAGGAAAACCCGGAAATGTGGCTGTTTTAGTTAGTTTCCTTGTTTGAGTATTTTGGATTAGGGACTTATAACTCCTTGAGTCAGTTACGTTGGTTTTGATATTTTGTTTATATGCTGTGTTTTTGTAATGACCGAGCATGATTTTGCATTTTATGTGGTTTCTTGAGGAATGTGGAGAGATTGATGGCCCTCTCAAACTTGTTATTAGGAAATGAGTGTTTGTTGTATTTTCTTTGTGAATTTTGTGAATAGAAAGTGGATTCCTATCAACATGCATGTTCAGTTTTATTATGAGAAAACTGAAAAAAAGAAGTGTCAAAATATGTGAATATTTTCTCAGAATGAATCTCATTATTATACCAGTATGTGTAGCTAGTTTCCTGTAGGCTCTGTCAATGGCACAAATCATGATGGTTTTAAATTGTAACATTAAACTGAGAACTTCATGATTAGCAGAGCATGATGGTTGATGTCTTCTGGTTACTTGGTATTACGGATAATGTCTTAGATTGGCTACTTAGATCTCATACAGGAATCTTTACCGTGGAATAAGTAGATTCCAGAGCGTCACTTACTATGCATGTTGGCTTCCACAACAAATTTGTGGTCTGGAAGGTGCTTGGCGTTGCTGATTTTAGTTGTTTCATTAGCTATTGCAAGAAAATAGAAAAATGAAATATGAAAAATCCATTCTCAATTTACTAACAATAAGGATGATCTTGGAAATTTGACTACAGCACAGGGACCAAATTAAAACTTTTGAAACCATAGCAATAGCATGATTTTAGAAGTTTGATTAAAGCATAGGGACCAAATTAAAACTTTTGAAACCATAGCTACTAGGCTGAAACTAAATCCAAATCATACGGATTAAATTGAAACTAGCCTATATCATAGGGTCGAAAATTTTAAAATCATAGATATCTAATTAAACTTTGCCCAATCCATACTGATCAAATTTGTAATTTAACCTATAAGACAATAAGACATTTATTTGAGCCATTAAATACTAGTATGGCAGATATTCAAAATAAATAGTGATGAAAGCCCGTAAGGAAGACGAGCTGTGATTTCTAAAACAGATAATCCATACTTTGTTAAATTTGAATTTGTTTCCCTATCTCTTCCATATCACAAGAATATACTTTTGGTTGCACAGTAAGGTTCTGGTTTAATGTTTCGATGAAAGTATATTAATGAGTCCAAGCATGCATGCATGCATATAATCAAGGCTTGCCATTATAGATCTTGTTTATGTGGGCTTCTATCTGATTCAAAGTTCAGAGAGGAAGGGTTGGATTACACAACATTTCCTTCATGAAAAATAAGTGGAACCAGTTCGGGACGACATTTCATGATTAATTAAATACCTTAGTGTCCTGTATGAAGTTCTCTTAGGTCTTTTACCAACTTTTCAACTTTTCCGTGTTACAAAATTAACAATGTACGTGACTTCCTTTGGCCTCTTAGGCAAAGATAGGCATTATTTCACATTTGCTTCACATTGCACACTCTTTGGTAAATCCGGGTTGTGGTATGGGTCTCGTCTAACCAACCTAAATATGCTTTCTAACCATAATAGTGCTCATTCTTTCTTTAGTTTCTAACTTTTAGGGTTAAGGTAAGGCAGATGGTTGATTGCCCATCTGATTTAATTACTACGTTGATATGTTGTTGCTCGTGAACTAATGCAGCCCCTATTTGGGCTTTAAGTTTCTGTTATCTATAACTTTTCTGACTAATTAGCAATTTTTTTTTATTATTTTATCATTCAAGCCAGTTTTCTGTTGTCAATGCCTTCAATGAGTTGAACTCTCTGCGCATTTTCTCAGTCATTTGGTCATCGAGGTAATACAAGAAGTCAGTGATGTTCCATATTCAGATTATTTCCGTGTTGAGGTATTAACTAGAACTTTCAGTTCTATTCGATCCGTTTGGTGGCAATTATCTCTATTCTGTTTTGGGTCATAATTTCTTGACGAGGAAATTTAATGATATATTAGAAAAGATTAAAGCATAGCAGCATTTATATATACTCGCAAGACTATAGATTATATGTTATTTGTTGAGGACAATCTTAAATATTGCAATCAAATATACATCATTATTTCAGAAGATTTAAAAAAAGAAAAAAGAAAAAAACTCTATTCAGGTACATTGTCTCTCTTTGGTTCCTCAAATGTTTCTTTCATTGGTGTGACTTAAAATTGTCTTTGAATCTAGCTAAGCGTAACCCACATTTCTCATTATATAAAACAGTCATTTCTTAGTTTTCCTACGTAATTATCAAGTGCTTATTCTTCATGGTTATTAAGTGTCTCCCTGCATAAATTTTAGGTTCATTGGGAGGTGAAGAATGATGTTGATGAATCAAATAATGGCTGCATCTTGAATGTATATGTGAACGTGGCATTTTCAAAAAGAACAGTGTGGAAAGGTATGTCTATTTGTACGAACATTTTGTGATTTTTATCATATGGTGATTAGTTCTTTAGAAATTTGGAGAGGAATTAAAAATTTCTTTTTTAGATTTTTCCCCTCTAAATATTTGTCCATTCACTCAATTTCACTCAATAATGTTAAGTTTTATATTCCTACTTCGATGTTCCATCATCCTGGGGGCCATTTTGCAAAGCCTTCCCTACAATAGATTTTTTTCCCTCTAATACCTGCCAGTTCACACAATATCATTTCATGAATCACTTTTAAAAACATTAAAATATAAGGGACTAATTGAAAAATGCTAGAATTTAAGGGACTAAAATGAATCTTTTTTCTTTTTTTTTTTTAAAAAAAGGAACTAAACTAAAATTTAGTGGGATATAAATAGATGATACGTTTGATATTCATACTTCCATTTTCTATCAACATTGGGGCCATTTAGCGAAGCCTTCCCTACAAGTTTTCCATTTCTAATTATTCCTTGACGAACCAAGGTCTAGGTTGAGTTGCGCGTTAGTGGGATATAAAAAATGTATGTTTACTTTGATATGCAAACTCATGGATCTGTTGATTGAATGGTGGGAAGAAATTCACTTTGACATGCAGGATGGACTAGCAAGAGCTACTTCGTTTGTTGCCAATAATGAACATTATAGAATTGTTGACATCTGTTGCAGAGAAAATATGGACTTGATTTGATCAGTATAAGAAAAATGATTCTTAGGCTGGAGTACCACTCTATTGAGGTACCATTTGAATGTAGGGAAAACTTTGAATAGACTGTTTATGTAAACCGAGGAAACCGTTAAGAGGGGTTTAAACGATCTTCAGAGGAATAATTTGGACAATTCAGTGTTGACCCTTTTATCATTCTCATCGAATTTACATTCAGGACAATAAGTTATATGAGATGGTGAAAATGTTGCTACTCTTCTAGTATATGTGACGCCATTTTGATTGCTAAAGAACTTCAGAATCGGATGACTTAAGGAAAATGGAAGTAAAGCATTGGATACTAAAAGCTAGGAGAGTTCATGATATCTATTTGGAACTAAGGAGCACAATTAAAGAGAGGAACTTATATGTTATAACAATAAAAGTACGTGGCCCATCTGATTTAAGGAACCGTCTTCTTTTCGAGATGTGAGTTGTCTATACGGCGGTTATTGTTTATGTGGAATGTTATTGCGGTCAACAACAGGAGGTATAAAGAAGTTCTGAAGCATACCAATTATTAAATCTTCTGTTAGAAGTCGGCATTTAAATTCCCGAGTTTTTTTTCCCCTCATCCGTGCATGTAGGAATTTCTTATTTGAGCAAATAGTTTTCAGAATATGATGCTGATTTAATGATGAGTTTTGTGGATCGTCATGCAGGGAAAATAGTACAGTCTACTCTTGAAGAATGCCGAGAGGCCTATGGACTGTGGATTCAGATGGTATCCTTTTTTCCCTTACATATTTGACAAGTGTTAATCAAATTTAAAGTGCTATTCAAATTTGTACGACATTCTTGCAGGCAAAGGAATTGTTGCAGCAGAAACTTAAAGAAATTGAAGGTCTGAATGTTATATAATTTTACTTTTCGTCTAAACAGTCATATTCAAATTAGGCAATTGATGAGCTCACACGTTCTGGTTACTAATTTACCACAGAGGGAAGACCAAGGGGTAGCACTTCGGGGAGTTGTAAAGATCCTCCTGTTGAAGAAGAAATAAATAGAAGCAAATCATTGGAAAAGTCAAATGAGACGAACGACCAAAGAAGATTAACTGAATCACAATGTTCCACTGACGTTGGTCAACAACCTGAAATCCTTTCTCAAGGAGTTGATTCTCCTTCACATGCTTCTTGGTGGAGAGAATACGTGAAGAAACTTTGCTCTTTGTTAAGAAGTCAAAATTATCTTCCTCTTGCCCTAGTTATCACGTTTGTTGTGATATTTCTAATGCAGGTATGCAATTTCTTTTACTTAGTATACCTATATCTTCTGTCATTGAATTTGCACCGGTATCCATGAATATGATTTCCAATATGATATCTGTCGGGCACCTGGCTTCTATTTTTCATTTTTGTTCGTCTAATTTACAGCAAATCTTTGATGGTATCTCTACATGTACCCCAGCTTTTTTTTTCTCTCTCTCTCTCTCTCACACCTATTCTTCTTGTGCTACCGCCAGATTTTAATTCATTTAATTTTAAATGGTGAGAACCCGTTACTAACCTATGATGAGAATAAAACTACCTACCTCAATCGACTCCGTTCCTCTCTAAGCCATATCCATCTGTTTCCTTTCCCTCTCAAACCCATTTAGTTCTTATTTATCATTACATATTTCGAACCTCTTCTTTGCCTCTTAACTCTATTATTTATAGTTTATATATTTCTCATTCATATTTTCTTTGAATTTCAAGTCTGGAATGATGTCTAGGATGGAAGCTACGTTATCCATTTATGCTTCCTATTGGTAATCTGAAACTTATTGATAATGGTAAATGGCGGCAGTCGCGTTTGTTTGATAGGTTGTCTAAATTTTCCATTTGAGCCGAGCGTACATCAGATGATACGTTCATCTGTGCATTGGGATAATAATCTATGAGGTAAGATGATATTGAACAGTTGTGTTGGGACGGACAGGCATATTTTAACTGAACTTGAGCAAAATGTGAATGTTCCCAAATTTGAGCAAGCAAAGCACAACTGCTTTTTCTGGTTAGTCTGAACAAATCAAGGCATGTGGCTTTCATCTCTCGAACTTTTTGTTCTGGGAATAGAAGGCTCATCTCCCTCACTTGTCTACTTCCATCACCATCCTTGGCACAGAAGAAGTCGAGGGCTGTAGAGGCAGAGTATTTGCATCGGTCAAAGGAGACGATGTATTAGGGAAAATGTAGTCAACCTAATTGATAGAGATCAAATTTCATTAAACTATTACAGGAATACATAGCAAACGTCAAAATATTTATATAGGTTTAGGTAAGGTTTGGACTTTTGAAGTCTTCAAAGCCAGGAAGATCCTATTGCATGTATTTATCCATGTTAGGCTAGGATGACTTCTCTGTTGTAGTTTAATAAAAGTTTCAATTATTTGAATTCTATTATGAGAATTTTGATATATTAATTAATCGTTGAAAAAAAAATCATTTCTAGTTGGTATAGATGTTGAAAATGGAAACATTTATTGATTGTAGAAAAATTAAACGAGATTGTGAACTGTTCTTCGTTGTGTGTGTATTGTTGAACATTACTACATGTTTATGGTATCAGAAATAGGTGGTGTCATTGCAGAATCCATCTTTTACTTTTATGATGTTGAGGTAGTTGTTTCTTATGAACGTTTGCTCGATTTATTTGCCACTTCATTTCAGTTCTGTAAATGACGAATAATTATGCTATTTCTTAACTGCAGTTGAGCATAGTGGTGCTATTATCCAGACCCCAACACATCCACATGAGTTATCCTGACAATGCAAGTGGCCTCAAAGTCAGTGGTGGAAGATCGCCTGATACCATGGCATGGTTGGAAAAGCGAATGCACCACCTTAAGGATGAGATGAACATGGTTGAGGCTAGGCTGGAGATGATGCGACGCGAGCATGCACAGTTAAAAGCACAACTAAGAGATCTTGAAGAAGTTAAATGGTAACTTTAATTTATTTTATTTTTTCAATTCCTCTTTGAGATTAATTTATTGTATGTTTGTTTTGATGATTGGAAATGATGATCCCTCGTAACAAAGGGGAAAGAATTGAAATACAACCCAACATGTGAACCGAAATGATTCTCAGGTGATAAACCATGGGAACATTTCTTTACTAGAAACTGGATTGGTGTAATATAAAGATGAGATGTCCTTGATCCACAAATGTGATCCTCATTCTCAAATAATATTTTGCAAAAAATTGCAACAATTTTACAATTTGTCCCCTAAAAGAAGCTTTACAATCCGTTGTCTCGATGCTGATATTTCTGCAACAATTTTACAATTTGTCCCCTAAAAGAAGCTTTACAATCCGTTGTCTCGATGCTGATATTTCTATCATGTTATAACTACGACGCTACGACCGTAAACATAAAAGATGAAATGTCGAAACCTTTTTTCCTCACGAGTAAAGAAGTTCAATTTAGTATTGTTCGGTTGAAACTTGAGAGTGACCTATGGGTATTTGATTGGATTGGACATTGATACTGATAGTTGAGAGAGAGAGAGAGAGAGAGAGAGAGAGAGAGAGAATAGGGTAAATTTGGGAGATCCAAAGTGAAGCTTAATATGAACAGGTTTCTTTTTTGGATTCCTTAATGGAATCCAAGTGTCCCTCAGAAAAGGAACCCCACACAACGAAATGACAATGTTGAAAAAGAATGGTCAAAAAGTGCCGCAATTTTTCCAATCATTTGGAAGAAGAGAAATAGGATGCGTAAGTGGCCTCCGCCAAAACGAGTTGGAGATATAATTTGGGGGGAGGGGGAAAAACATGACCACCGACCTCGGGAAGGCGCCAAAACGAGTTGGAGATATAATTTGGGGGGAGGGGGAAAAACATGACCACCGACCTCGGGAAGGGCTTCACCAGATTCCCCAAGTTCATGCATGCCAATCAAACTTGACAATGATTGGAGAGAAAACAAGCAATAACCCTCACCCTTACTCGAATTCACAACAACTAAGGTTGGCTTCTAACTCAACTCCATCCACTTTTTCTTGCACTTTTTCTTGCATGAGATTGAGATTGAGATTGAGATTGAGAGCCCACTTTTCTTTTCATTTCATTAAAAATCTAAATTCAATAACACTTATATTGATCATCTTTACGAATTTCATCCGAGAAGAGGATAAACCCAATTACAATATGCAATATTAAATTAAAAGGGAATCGAATACTTTTGACTTGAAATCTAGGTATCAATTAATATCATGAGGGCATTGTTTTGGTACAATGACACACGCTGATAGGGCATAGGATTGATCCTTATCCTATGTTAGTGATACCATACCCATGTGATGTTATTCAGCCCTTGATATTATATTTTATTTTGTCCAGAGAAAAAGCAATAGATAGGCCACCTCATGCTTCTAATCTAACATCGTGAGCTTCATGAATAAACAAATCTCCAAAAAGGAGAAAGTAGATTGAATTCAACATGACGTCAATCCAAGTGATGAATAATAATTTGGGGATGTGTGCTAGGTGTGAATGGATTATTAGATGGCATGAACGGTGAAGCAACTCAAGGAATCAAGAATCAAACTTGGTTTTAAGATAGACTTGGGACTTTTAATTAGGCCACCAACAACATCAATTTAATTATATTTTCAGCAAAGGAAGAAGCATATTCCTGACTAACTAAACAACATAGCACACCCCGTCTCCCTGCATTCTATCTCTCCACCACATTTTCTAGTTAAAATATACGTCTAAGTTCGGTTTTGTATTTTCTGCCATTACTTTTTCTTTTTTTCAAAATGGATAATTTATTCTCGTGCTTTTCTAAGTTTGGTGGAAAATTATCCAAACGTTTAAGGATCGAGATACCAATTTTTGAATCATGCAAAACACCCAAAATACATGGATGGATTGATGACCTTCTGTAATCGCACAACTCCCAAATGTCTTCCCATCTAGACCCGCAGCCAGTCAGCAAACATCTAAAAAAAAAACGTGGAATAAAAAAGATATTCCATCACCATAACATTTAATTCCTTTTCTCTTTTGGAAGTTCAAGTCTAACTCTATAGCTATTTGAACTTCTAGGAGAGACCTCAAAGATTCAACTGATTCTTTTTACTTGTTACAAATTCATTCAAAATTTAGAAGTTGTTCACTGGGTTCTAGTCGATGATGTATCTCATCGAACTAATTTTTCTCTTCTTTAGACTTAATCAACTTAATTTATCTTAGCAGCGAATGACCAATATCCTAGGGTGAGGCACGACCTCATCATATCTCATAGGATAATATGGTGTTTCTTTCTGAATGTCATTGTGTAAGATTAACTGGCGACCATAAAGTTAAAATTTAGGGGTGTGACCCCGTGTGTTAGCCAACTACTAATCTACCTGTGTGGGTCTTTTACCCCTCAAGGCATATTTACAGTACAATGGCCTTGTCCAAGGCACCTCTGACCCTCTCCACACACAATAATGTCTCTCCTCTCCAGCTAAAGTACCTATGTGGTCCCCTCTCAGGATAGGATTAAGGAATCGAGGCCTTGGCTCCCGACCCGTTTCTACACACGATAATGGCATGCATCATGAGCTAAACTACTTTTGTAATTCCTTGTTTTTTCTTAGAATGGGTTTATCGAATCACAACCTAGGTTCTCGACCCATTTCTACACATAATAGAAACTCTTCAAGAAGCCACGATACTCCATCCTATTTGACATTGGTCTAGCTCAGCAGTACAATTCTTAGATACCTACCGCTTGGCAGGAGGCATTACCGGGTTTGACCTAGCTCACTGAATAGTGCTACTAAGGTACTATAGGGAATAGAGGGCGGTCAGGCTCTGGTGGTACCACCCACACTATTAGCAACCTTGTAAATTTTCATGTGTATCGTGAAAGTTCACTAGGTTCTTAAGGTGTATAAGCAATTTAAATCTCAATTTCTAGGACAATTAGGACTATCTCATCGAAACTAATCTAATTTTTCGAGCACTATGGTCTTGATCACTGATCCTCACTCAAGATCCTAGGGTGATCAGTCTACTAGAAATTTTCTGACCTAGGTCAACCTGATATCATTCTAGCTTCCGCACCCTAATCTTAACTTCGTACAATCATGCCTAATTTATTATTGAGATAATCCTATCTGTCACTAAAAGCATGAAATAGATTATCCAAACATTCATGCAAGGTTAACAAGGGGATAAAACAACATACAGGGTATTATAGTAATTTTTCAATACATACACAACATTCTCATATAAATTGCTCTTCTAAAGTCTTAATCACATAAAATGCAATAAAATACTTAATTTATTTTTATTAATTATAGTTTATTATTATTAGTTACCAATTTAATCTAAATAAATTAAAGTAAAAAATGAAAAGGAGTCGATACAATAGGAAGAAATAATACAATGCACGAGTGGAACATTTATTCCTAAAAGCCTAATATCTAAACTATCATAAAAGCCTAATTTATGGATCGATCCCTATTAGATGGCCTGACAAGCAAGCAAGCAAATGACCTTTTATACTTGAGAATGATAGAGTCATCATTACATTGACGCCACTGTTGTTGCACACACACCCCCAAATCATCTAGTAGACTAGCACATTGATTCAACCACAATGACCAAGTACTAAGCGAAGTGGGCACATATCCCATCATACAAAGATCTATTTGTCACGTTACGGAGGTATGTCACATATATTAAAAAAGACATTTTTATTAATTTAACGAAAAGAAAAATTGAAAAAGTTACCCACAATTAAAAACAAAATTAAATTATATAGGGGATAATAGAACACATATATAATAAATATATAGGAAAAATTAATTAACAACATATATTAAAAAGAAAAAGGAAAAAAAAAAGAAATTGAAATAGGAAAGAGAAGTAATTATGCAAAAAAATGAAAATTAAAAACAATAATAATATAATAATAATGATGGACGGTGGGGGGTTGAAGTTGAAAACGGAGATTATTTAGTCGGTTTAGAAAGGTTGAATTTTGCAGAGCTAAATTGAATATATATAATATATTAATATATATTATTCTATTATTATATTATATATAATTAGGGGTTTTTGGGTGCTGGTCCAGGTGCTACAAATCTAGCCAACCAAAGGACCACGTCCCTCGTCCCGCATCTTCACTACAACCTAAAACGGCGCCGTCAGTTTCTCTCAACTCAAATCATCAATTATTTCTTTCTTTTTTTTTTTTCTTTTCATTACGTTAAATTAATAATAATATTTCTCAATAATATTCTTTAATAAAATATATTTTTTAAGTTTAAAAAAAAAAAAAACCAAAAATATCTTTGCTTAATAATTTATTTTTTATAACTTTAAAAAAATATTCTTACCATGTTTAAAAAATTAAGAGGAAGATGGTACAATTTGTATGCCTAGTATTTTTTAAACCTGAAGAAAAATATATTATTTTAATTAAAATAAAAATTTAGGGATAATTTTAATGTTGAAAAAGAAGATTGGATTTGAATAGAAAGTAGTGAGATATTGGATTGAAAAAGACAAGGGATACAGTCGAAAATGACAAAAAGGAATATGCTAAAATCAAACAAACATTCACCCATTTGTTATTCAAACCCTTTTGTCCAATACCATATTTTTTACCTTTTCATATAAGCTCTCATGGCTTTGCTTTGGGTCTCCCAAAAGGCCTCATACCAATGGAGAGTGTATTCTTAGATTATAAACCCATGACCATTCCCTAAATTAACCGATGTGGGACTTTCATCATCCAACAAAGGCTTCTGTGAGACTACGAGATCTTTCACTCAATTCTAAGAAAAACAATTAGACCAAAGCTAAGTTTGTAGGACCGTCATAGAGAAAGCCACCAACACGGGCTTACCAATTTTGAATACCTAAAGTCGATATGGTTGATATAAGTTTAGCATTAAACAAACTCATCTCTACTCGAATGGATTAATGAAGTGGCAGAGAAGGAATAAAAGGAGGTTTGTAGACAAAAAAAAATTTATTAATTTTATTTTTGTAAGATTTTAAGGATACTAATTTGAATGGGAATAAATGTTTTAAGTTGACTTTGTTAATATTGATGATTAGAGTCCAAATGTAGTAGGCGCCGTAATCTAGGAGGCACGATCTCCACCTGTCCTTCACTTTCTTTCCCAATTTCAATTTAAATCCTTAAATTTCTTCTTATTACTTTTTCCCCCCCAA